GGATGGTTAATTTATAGTTGAAATTTTAATAATTGTGCTACTATAATTTAATCTTTCAGTCGGTGTTGTTACCGGACGGGACACCGGACGTGCATTGGAGAAGAGCGTGCGGTGGACAGAAACTTAGAGACATAATGTTGGATTCTAACATCGAACTTTATGGTCCTTACGTATGATTTTATTTCCCTCGATTTGTTTTCTTTTTTGTCTTAATCAAAATATTCTGGAGTATCGTTACATATATGTCATTAACTTCGCAGAGTAAGCCCTTGTCAAACTGCGCAGGAGTAGGAACCTGCGCTACTTGTATGGTCGAGGTATACATATCTTATAGTAGTAATTTTTTAATAAATAATTAATAAGCTTATACAAAATTTTGGTTTCTTCATTAATTTAAATTCTAGGGATGGCTTATCAGGTAACTTAGTTTATTTCTTGATCATGGAACAATGATGGATGTTCTTTGCAGATTGTAAATGGAAAGGAGCATCTCAATCCACGAACTGACATTGAAAAGGAGAAACTCAAAAGGGTATATTCTTATTTAATAGTCTTGTAGTATCATTTGGTCACAGACTCGCAGTATAAAATGAAAAAGCAATGTTTTCACAGAAGCCAAAAAATTGGAGATTAGCTTGTCAAACCAACGTGGGAAATCCAGATTCAACCGGATTGGTAATTATCTATAACCTGTTTCTTTCTCTAATATCTATTATATAGTATACTAATCTTTCTACACATATGACTAATTTATATTTAACTACTTGTTGAATAGGTTGTCATACAACAATTGCCAGAGTGGAAAGCTCATGAATGGAATATCCCTAAGAACTTACCTATTGATGATCCCGAAACTTCTATTTGAAACGATCCATTTGTTATTGTCTATATCATGTAACTATAACGATGGAGTTTTTAATCTATATCGATATTTAACCCTACGGGCAGCTATTTAGAAACAACTAATTAATGATGATTTAGTGTTACAAAATCAGATCATTAATTAATAACCAAACAGGCTTACATTAAATGATTTTGATACAAAGAAACCGAACCAAACATCAACAAAGCAACATATCGAGAGACCAAGAAATCAAACAAGAATCATTACATTTTCTGCTTAGAATTCAGAGGCAAGAGGAACATGTTCTGAAGAAGGCATGAAGACATTTCCGTAAACAAGTCCAGCGAGTCCACCACCGATGAGTGGTCCCACCCAGTAGACCCAGTGACCAGAGAAGTCTCCAGCTGCAACAGCTGGTCCAAAGGAACGTGCTGGGTTCATGGATCCACCGGAGAATGGACCAGCGGCGAGGATGTTGGCACCAACGATGAGACCAATGGCGAGAGGAGCGATGGTTCCGAGAGAACCTTTCTTGGGATCAGCGGCTGTGGCGTAGACGGTGTAGACCAAAGCGAAGGTGATGATGATCTCCATCACTACTCCTTCAATGGCTCCTACTCCAGCTGCAACGCTGTGTGTTGGAACCGCCTGCGTTTTCACATAGTTTAAAGCGTTTGTTTCATTAGTTTATAATAATTAAACAGTCTCAAGAATTGTATATTAGTGGAAAGAAACCTAAAACCCCTCGAATTATGTTCATTTGAATTAGACAATAAACCTTACGATATTATAAAAAATACTTTCAAACAAATCTTGTGTATAATATATATGAATGTACAAAAAACAGTTGAGAAAATTATTTTATTTTCCTCAAACTTTTGTCTTATTTTGTACCCTAGTTAATAATCTAATTAGATTTGTTTTGTTGACCTGCAAACCTACAAATTAAATACACAATTGTTTTGTTTCCTAGTTAAAGGTTTATTTTGCGTAAAATCACAAGTAGAGATATAAATGTGAACGTATTGTTTTGTTTTGTAGGCTTTATAACCTGTGAATTTATTATACTAATTATAAGGACGATGTGATGAGGACATACCAAGCCACCGGTGACGAACTTAAGAAGGAAGCAAGCGGCAGTGGAGCCAAGAAGCTGAGCGATCCAGTAGAAAACTCCGGTGATGAGTGTGATTTGACCACCTAGAGCAAGGCCAAAAGTGACGGCTGGGTTCACATGGCCCCCGGAGATGTTGGCTCCGATTGCAACCGCCACGAAGAGGGCGAAACCATGGCACACAGCGATGGCTACAAGTCCCGGCGTATCAAGAGCCGCATCCGACGTCAACTTCGCTATATAAACAAATGTGACACATTCATTAAGTATAATGGACAGACTCATTGTTACAGATTATGAAATATTATTTAGTTACGAACCGTAGGCAATGGCTGAGCCAACACCCGCGAAGACAAATAGCAAAGTGGAGATGAACTCAGCAAGGTAAGCTCTTAGAGAAGCCAAGCTGAAAGAATCATCGAAAGAACCAAAGGCAACTCCTGCCATTGCTTTAGATGAAGAATGAAGAAGACGTTGGAGGGTTTTTTTTTTTGCTTAATGAAGAGGATGATAAGACCTTTTGGATGCCATTATCTATTTATATAGGAGTCTCGACATTTATTCATACACAATCTTATATATTAAAACAGAAGTCATGACTTGATTTCATGTGTGATTTTTAAAAAAATGGACTGTTACAAGAAAGTTATGTTACATTAACTCTCTAATAATATTATCATTATTATATCTTATAATATGCTTAACAATTTTGTTTTTTTTGTAAATTACCCCACACCTTCCAACTTAGTCACGCAAAATATGTCAATAGATTTAAATTTAGGAATCTTCTATTATTTATAAGGAAATATGTCAATAATAGTTAAATGCATCCAGAATATATTAACAAAAATCACAGATTATTAATATGTAATATTTATATACCTTAACAAAATTAACACGTTATATATATTAGATAAATTTATTTCGATGAAAAATTTTAAAATTGTATTGTTTAAAAAAAAGAAATTGTTTAAAAAGTTCCTTTTTAGTAAACTTTTTATAATATTAATTTATGAAGTTATAAGTTTAGTTTTTAGCAAAAAATTCTTCGAAGTTTATATTATCTTTGCAAATTAAATTACACTAATATTTAATCAAGCTCTATTTATATTACTTTATCTAAAAATGAAATACTAATCTAACAAACAATAAAATATAGAAGAAGAAACAAACACATGTTTGAAAGTCATGTATAATATAGAAAATTTGAAACAATCTNTATTACTTTATCTAAAAATGAAATACTAATCTAACAAACAATAAAATATAGAAGAAGAAACAAACACATGTTTGAAAGTCATGTATAATATAGAAAATTTGAAACAATCTATTTGATTAAAACACTTATTATATAATATTATTATGTTTGAAAAACATTTACTATACATATCGTAAATATGTGATTACTATAATATATAAAAATTTACAAGTGAAAACAAAATGTTTATATAACTATAAACGAAAACAAACACCTGCGCGGTTGCGCGGGTCAAAATCTAGTATATATTTTAAAACTAATCTTTTTAGTTATTTTATTTTTGTGGTGGGTACACACATTAGTAAATGATTTCATGTGTATTTCCATTTCTCTATAGCTATTCGACCTGTGATAGGAAGTTGTTTAAAATACTAGAATAATGAAATTTACCTGGAACACTCTAGAAAAGCAATTTAGCAAAAAAAAAAAGGAACACTCTAGAAAAGCAGAAATGCATTTTACCATATGTAAACATACTATAATTTATGAAATATGTGTGGTTATAGTATGACTAAATAAGCGGATATCTATCTAAAGTAACACTAGTAGGACAAAATAAGTGAAAACTAGATTTTGATCCGCGCTTGAAAAGCGCATAAATTTTTTATGTTTTAAAATTTATTTAATTGCGTTTTGTCTTAATTTAAAGAATATTTTGATATAAAATCAGTTCATCAAAATTTGTGGTGATGATTGTTTTTCATTAGCTTTTAGTTTCACTTTTTTATTTTTAGATTTTGGATTTTTGTTTTTAGTTTTTAAGTTTCTACTTTTCATTTTTAGTTTTTGGTTTGGGTTTTTAATTTTTAAACCCGCTGAGTTAGTTTGAACTAATATTACGAACAAACAAATTTCAAATAATCGAACATCTAATTTAAAACTGAAAAGATGAAAAGAAAATTTTTTAAAAAAATTGAAATAGTTTATTTTGTAAATAAACAAAGCAAAAAAAAAAAATAATATGTGTTTTCAGCTTTTGGTTTTGGATTTTAATTTTTAGATTTGGTTTTTGCTTTTGCTTTACATTTTTTAATCAGTATATTATTTAAGAAAAATAAAACAATAATTTATTTAAAAGTTACAATTGAAATTTATCAAAACAAAGTGATTGTTATTTTAAAAAAATAAAATATTAACTTGTTTTAAAGTACATGATTTAAATAAATGATTAATAATAGATAACTCTGTTTTCTTAAAACTATTAAATACCTTTTGACTTATATTATTTGTAACATTCTAGAAAGGGTCCAAATTTAAATGACAACTTGTATTAATAGATAAAATGACTGACTTTATTTTAATAGAATAGATTCAAGATTAAACTACCGTAAAGTAATCAATAAAATTATGATTTTCTAATGATTATTGGTTCATTAGCTTAAAATATATAGGAAACAAATTCTCAAAATACTAGTTTGATTTTCGAAATACCAACAAAATCTAAAAACTTCAAAATACTTCAAATTATCAATTTACAAAAGAATTAAATTTGCCAAGGGTATTTAATTCAGTTAGCAACTCTTTTTGAAGTTTCGACTGTTCTTTTTCCTTTTTTTAAAGACTGTTCTTAGATCTAAAGTTCGTATATTTTTGGAACTTTTCAAAGATGTGATATTTTTGAAAAATAAAATTTACGTTCTATAGTTTTCTAATGAGATTTGACCTATATATCAGTTTTATAAAAAACAAATGGGTTGGTAACATTTTATACAGAGCGGCTGCATGTCTCAAAATTTAGTCAACTATTTGGATCAAGTTTTTTCGTATTAAGTAACATTGGCCGGTTTTAAAGTAGTGGCCGGTTTAAAGTGATTGAAATAAGGGTGGTGGTGGACCAAAATAGACAGAGGAGCTTCAAAATTCAAAAAAGGATAGAACATAAAGATGAGATTAGACTAGAGTGACAAGAAAACAAATGGATACGAACAAAAAATAAGGAGGGACAAGTGTGAGCTGTAATCAATGTGTATGGGTGACAGACCGGCCAAAATATGAGGTGGTTGCATGTGACATGATCTTTTTTCCTAGTGAAATTATCAGATTTTGGAGATGTGACTCGTTTATGATTATATTCCATTTCACAATGTTTAATTGGGTCCATCCACTATTTACTTACCCCTGCTATCAACTTTCTTCATCATATCATTATTCACTTTGTACATTCGTGCTCTTACTGAAACCAAATGCTACATAGATATATTTGTTGTCTAACAGTCAACAACTTCAAACATCATTTTTTGCATTAAACTCCCTATTTATTAATTTGATCCAAATAGGTTAGTTTGAGGAGGTAACCATGGAAAGATCTTAGTGTTTACATGGAAAAAATAGAAAATTGCGTGCGAATTCTTTTGACAAGGGATCCGTCTGGCTATTTCAAAACATCATTTAAAATACACCATTTGTAGCAAATTTGACATTCATTTATGTAAGTCTACACAATTTTAAGAATATATGATAAACGTAAATATTTTGGTAATAAAGTACAAAAGGTTGTTAAGTCTATTAGATTATACGTTAGCGATGTATGCATCCACTTCTAAACTTCCTTAGAATGACTAGAAATAAAATTTTCAAAACCAATCAAATTCTATGTTATGTTGAGATGGGATATATATGTGTTGTTTTACGTCTATATACACTTTTCTT